CAGCCCTGCCTGCCCCAGCGCCTGGTTGGGGGGTAAAGCAAGGGGGCGCAAGGCTCGTTAACAGCATCAGGCGCTGGATGACCGAGCCCTCCGACAAGTCCTGCTGCTCTCCACTGTCCAGCTGACTTCTTCTGGGGCATGTACAACCAAGCCAGTCAGTACCTCCAGCCCTTCTAAGGCTCCCCTCGACCCCCCCTTTCCCCTCCCATCCGTGCACAAAGGCGGGCAGCATTTAACAGGGAGAACGAGACCCCGGTCAGTATTAATACACAATAGAATAACTACAGATTTTGTTTTTCAATCATTACCCCAATAGCCTTTCACCTCTGGAGAGCTGGATTCAATGCCTGTTAAGATACAAGTGACAATGAGTTTGGCTGTCTCAAGTTTAGAGCCCCAAATGGATATTTTAGCCATCTTAGCAAATCTACAGCAAATTTGGTACAACTCAACAGTTGCCTGCTCAGGACTGGAGTAGCCGGAGGGGAGAGAGAGGGTGCTGCGGGTCGGGGGGGTCTCCCGGTGCATTGGCAGAGCTGTGGAGGATGAGGGTGAAGAGGAAGGAAAGCAGCATGGAAGCCCTGCCTGCTCGGTGGTTTGCTTTTGGTTTGTATTTTTCTACTCTCTGCGGCCCCCCACAATTCACAGAGGCCAGTACCAAGTCGCCCCCAGAGACATCGTGACAAAAAAAAAAAAATCATTACCTGGCCAGGCTTGCCTCTGGGGGAACATTTCAGTTTTGGTTTTGGGTTTTTTTTTTATTTTTTTTTGAGACCATGAGACCCAAGCGGAGGCCCCGTTAGAGAGGAGCCAAGCGGCGGCTCGCAGGCTGGCCTTTGGCCCACGCTAGCGTACAGAAGAGAGAAGGATTTTCCATACCACTGAATCCAGTGTTGCCATGAGACATTGGAAAGTGTGACTGTTGCATTGCCAACTGGTGCAGCTTGGTCAGCTAGAGGGGGGAGAAAAAAAAAAAAAGAGAAAGAAAAAGGCTGATGTTAGCCATTTCCCAAGCCCAAGGGGGGCCAGGACTCACACAGCACACACATCAACACAGACACTGCCAAGTGGCACTGGGTTCCCCCCGGTCCCTCTGTATACGGCACAGCCCTCTCCCCACGGAGAGGAGGAAGGCACCAGGCCAAGGTGGGGCTGGGGGGGGCCTGTGCCCACCCCCCTGGTGAAGCGAGGTATGAAAGGAGCTCAGGGAGAGAAGCAGAGAGGAGCAGGAGAGACGAGACGGCAGGGTGCTCACACCACACCATGCAGGGAGCAGCGGTGGGGACAGGAGTGCCACAAAGGGAGATGGGGATGGAGCCCGGCTCGGTTCAGCCCCCAGAGTAGCTCTTAGCCCAGCTTCCTTCTAACCCTTCTCCTCCCTGGCCTGGCGCGTCAGAGCCACCCCCCCCTGCCCTCACTGTTCTAAGGGTGCCAGGAGCAGAGATCAGCCCCCACCGAGCCTGCAACGAGCCTACAGGATGAGCATGGGTGCCAGAGGATGGTGGTG